CAGCCGCCGCTCATTAGCATGAGATTAGCATCCATCTCATCTGCATGCACATTCCTGGCGGGCGGCTTCCTGAGCGTTAACCCTCTCGGCGCCACCCCCGCTGCCCGAAGGGAAGACGGAAAGAGCCCTCGTCCTACAAGAATGTGCTGCGCGGGGAGGAAGAGGCACGCGCGAGCACGCACATCCCGGGGAGGGCGGGGGGACCAGGAGTGGGATAGATTGGAAGAGACAGAAGGAGGGCAGAACTGAACAGCGCGCGTTGTTCTAGAGACTTTTTAAAAAAAGTCTCTTGAAAAAGGAAAAGAAAAAAAAAGGACTGTAGGTTGCAAAAGGGAAAAAGGTGAGACGTTCGCAACTTTTTCAAAATAAATGCATATAAAAAGATCGTAATTCTCCCATTCTAGAGTTTTTGCGAACGTTTGTTGCTGAAAACCTAATAATTCTCAGCTCCAAGGACTGTTCTTTCACATAACCCTGAAGTGATGTGATTATAGTCGTGTGAGCGCTTTCCTGTCAATTCAGCACCTAAGGAGATAGTTTCTATTTTCAGACTTCATGTTTTCTCCAGTTGCTGCCGGAATAGTTAAATACCCACAAATCATCCTGTAACCAAAACTGTGAAAACTGTTTTTCTTCACCATAATGTCTTTACTTTGTATTATGTTTTGTTTATGGACAAGGCAGTGAATAATTTATAGATGTGCTCTCAGCAAAGAAACTTATTTTCAACACAAAGCTGAGCTTTAATAGGAAGACAAAGTTAGTGTGGTCCTGTAACAAAGAGGTGGAATTCAGTACTTGAGACTAATGGACTACATAACCCAGCTTGGCATTCTCCAGATGTGTTGAGACTGCAACTTCCAGAATTTTAGCCTAGGTATTCATGCTGGGAGCTGTGGTCTCCATACATCTGCTGAGCTCTTGGTAGAAGTAGAGTAGTTGGCACTCACACCTTGGAATAAGCCATACTGAATGAACATACTGAGACATCTCACCAACTTAATATACCTAGTGTTAATTCTACTAGTTCAAGTTACAGCTCAGTCATGGATATGAATGATGGTAAACACAGAAAATAACTAGTACCCTCAGTTCTGGGAAATCCTGTCTCCAAACATTGAAGAAATCCATAGTATTTCGTTTCAAAAATAGCAATTACTTCAAGAATCAGGGGCAATCTGAGTATCAATCGGAGGAGAACACAAGCTCAAAGTTCCCACAAGCCTGTGTTCTGATTCACTACAACTGTTCTTCTATTTTCTTCTTAGAAATTTGAGAATAGCTATAAGGACATACCATGGCCTAGCTCTCTGGAATTTTCCAATCTAGTCCTTCAATTTGTTTTTTAAAAAACCCTTTAAAAGTTATCCATTTTAATTTGCAAACACCCACATTTATGCATATCCAAGAAATTAATCAAGTACTGTATGCAAAAAAAGCTAATCAGCTGTTATATTTTGTGACAATATCCACCCATCCTCCATACATATAATATAGTCTAGGCCACAATTCTTCCCGAAGTCTGTTCTCACAGATGACAAGGACTGATACAGCATATAAATGAGATTATTGCATGCCAGATTGCAACTGTTAAAATGCCTGCTGTTATCCAAAAACTCCATTTTCTATAGTAAAAGAAGAAAAAGTAAAAGTAGCTGTCTAGTTTGGAGCTACAAACCTTAGTACTCAATACTACAAAGATAGGCCCGTGGCAGCTTAAAAGTGTTAGCACTGTAGTTGTTTTAATGATAACAGTATGTCTGTGTGTTTTCTTTACATTATCCAGTGTAAATTCAAATTTCTCTCCTGCCTAGGATTATTAGATCTGGGCTGCAAAAACTCCAAATGCAGAAAACTCTAATATGCTGCTGCCATATAGAGTAGTCTGAATTTGTTCAGGTCTATATCGATGGCTCTATTCCTGCGTTTTCCATCATTTGCTTTTACCCTTTCCTTTTATTAATATACCAAAATTAACAGTTACAAAGCAAATTTAGGTATAATTAATAAATAGGAGGAAAGATGGTAAGCAAAGGATGGCAAAGATAAACAACATAATACTGATCTTTCACGTATTTATTGATAATTTATCATTATACTGTTACAGATATCCATACATGCATAAGTAACATTATGTGAAGTGAAGGCAAAGACTGGGAAGCAATGAGCTAAAGAAATTATAGGCAGGAGATAAAAGAAAAGGAGATCTAGCTAAACTCAATGTATACTGATACTGTTCACTATATTCTCCATACCTTGCATCCTTGCAAGCCATTCTTGCTTCCAGGAACACCCACAGGGGGAGGTAAAAATGTCAAGAAGGCAGTACCCCTTTTTATGTCACGATGCAAGTAGAAAAAGCATGTGGCTTCAATCATGTCATCATGGTTACCCACTTGACTTATGAATAACCTCTGAGGATGCCCCAATTGCTTCCACCATATCCATACAACTATTTTGTACATTGCCTTTGTTCTTTCAACTTCTCTCCTTCCTTCCCGATCTCCTCTGCTCCATCTAACTACAACTTCCTTCTAGACTGCTCTTCCTCTTTCTCCATGCACTATTTGTTCATATATTTTTTTCTGTGATTTGATCCTCATTCATTCTGTGTGACCATCCACTTCACATTTGAATTAAGTCCATATTTATCCATCAACCATTCTTTACCCTATCTCTTTATTTTACTACATACACTTCTTAAACTCTTGATCTCTTTATTTTACTACATACACCCCATTCCACTGTATTCACCTTTTTTGTTTCTCTTGTCATGCTCAACCTTTATTTCTATACAACAAAGTGGGCAGAATCATGCTCTTAACAAGAGACATTTTCACTTCTTTTAATATGCATTATATCTTGTCATGTAATCGTTGGCATATGCTTCTAATCATGATGATGTCAAAATGATGAAATATATGTTAAATTATTACCACACAAGCTCTACATCTTTCATACATTATGATATCACACAAAAGTATGTAAGGGACAGAGTTTGTTTTGTGACATCACAATGCACATATCATCATTCCCCCCTGCCCCTTGAAGCCTATGCACATTAGACTACATGCTATGCACTACCTTCCTATCAACATTTGGTAATTTTTCCAACTATTTTCCTATCTTTAATAAAGAAGTCTATCAAATCCATCTCTTGTTCTAATTTTTCATCACCACTTTAAACATAGAAAAATACAAGAAATAAGAAACAATGGATAACAATGGATATGCCAAACAATGATATACTGAAGTTTTGTATTTAATTGGTATGTTCCAATAACATATCAGCAACCTCCATCTTATTTCTGAAAGAATTCAGAGAATATGGTTTCCTTTATTTTCTTCAATATCATCAATCATACACAAATTGTTTCCCATAATCTTTGTAATTTATTTTATCAAAGGTAAAGTTGCTGATTTCTACTTTTTGTCTATAATAAACCACAAATTAGGTCTGTCCCAGAAACTGTCAGCTATGTTCTTTAGATGGGAGATTTTATCATTTTTTCTTCAAATAATGCAATTAAATAATTTCGCCTTTTGTTAGGAATAAGGAGATTGCTCAGAAATGAAGATTTTATGATCAGGATGGGGATTTTTTCCTCTTGTGGTCCACACTGCCTTACTGAAATTTGCTAGGATCTAGTAATGGTCATGGCCAGAGCTGAAGTGCTTGAAATGGACCTGATGGATCAACAGATGGGGCTCTACCCTTTGTTCAGTGCAAATTAGGATAGTTTAATCTATGCAGTCTTCTTCTCTGATTTAAGAAGGGTTACATGAATCTGCTTGTTAATGTATAGCAGAACAAAAAGGTATGAATAATAATACAGAGCGGTGGAAGTTAGGGGACACTGCTTAGAGAATGTCAAGAAATCTGGATATAAAATCTGGTAGTATACATATGGCTTTTCACACAAATTTTACACAACTACACACTGGTTTAATTTAACAAACCACATTTTAATTATTATCATAAGAATACTTATGGTGGAAAGGTACAGAATACTGTTTTCTGTACAAAATTCCTGTTTTCTGACTCTGGTTTCCAAGTACTGAATTTGCCCTACTATGTAAAAAGAGAGCAATTTATTATGGCAAGAAAAACGAACTTCTTCTCCAAGTAACACACATTCTAATCCAAATAGTCTTACATGCATGATCTGTGAAATAAATAATGCAGAGTTAGTGCAGATAGCCTCATTTACTTTTCTTTTCTTGCAATTAGTTCTAGGATATACAACTTCCACATTTGAGTAAGAAGATTTCTACATTAATTACTAAAACCAGGATAGGTCTGGCAATCTCACCATTAGCATCACCATTAAATGACATATCTGGATTCATAAAAGAGATTAAAGACGCAACAAACTGCTCAATGAAGGAAAAAATATATACCATGGTTAATGCATTTGCAAATAATTGGATAAATAAAAGTAATCTCAAAAAAGAAGGAGGGACCTTGAGAAAGATGACAGAATTTGACATACTCATACTAAATTAAGGTAATCTATTGGGATGTATTTCTAATTGTTATTGAAATATGATACAGAGATGGAACAAATTCAAAATTGTATGATAAAATGGATGCAAAATTTGAGAGAAGTACTCACAGTGGATCAAAGGGAAGAGTTATGGAAAAAAATCAATTAAATGTACTCCAATTTAAGGGAAAATTAGTATAAAAAGTCCTACAGA